GTTTCCTGGAAAACCCTTCAAGAGTCTGACCACAAGCTGAACCTTGGTCAGACTGTGAGGCTTTGACACACTGAAGCTGTCCCAACAAAGTCCACGTGACACTGCCAAACAGGGATGGGGCTGCAAAGAAGGGGGTGTGATGGAAATTTGGCACTAAGATCCTTTAGTGTAGGAAGAAGCCAACTCCAAGAGGCCTCTTTCACCACAGTGTAAGATGTGGGAAAGCACCCAGGCTTCGTCAGTTCTCCAAAAATCCACTGAAGCCAAGTGTGACAAGCATCTTTAAACACTTTCAAAAGCTTAGAACGCTTTCAGCTATGCAAGAGGGGCTCTGTCAAGCTGTTTTGAAATGAAGGTCAGTTCAGACTTTTGATTCCAAGAAAACTAAGAATCACTGGTAAAACATCAGTTTTTCTAGTTTATTTATAAGGTTTGCATGGGACTGCTGGAAATCCAGCAGGCAAAAGGGTGCTGGACATGGGGTCAATTTACAGCATAGGCAAGGGTTGTGTGCTCTGAATGCCCCTGGGGAAGAAGCTGAGCCATTTGCCTTGTTACTGCCAATCTTATCCCTGTCTAGGAAGACATAGGCATGTCAATATTTACTTGCTTTATTTATGTGTAAAAATCCTTTCTTGAATTTATGTGTTTGTGTCTTAGTTGGAAAAGACAGGCGTGTGCTAAGGAAGGCAGGAGCCTCCCCTGAAATGGAAAATGTAAACCCCTTCCCTCTGAATTGTTATAAATTTGAAATTAAGGGGGGCTCTCAGGCAAAGATATGGGAGCAGGAATAACAGTTCTTTATTAGGGAAGAAAAAATTAAAAAAGTAAAATAAACAATGTGGTAAAACAAAACAACACTGACAGAGTCAGAACACAACCTGGCACCGTGTGGGTCAGAGTGTTGGTAGCAGTCCAATTGGAAATGTGGCTGCAGCCCTCCTGGAGTGTCAGGTGTGGTTCTGCTGGAGCAGGGACCCTGTAGCTAAAGGTGCAGTCTTCCTCTGAAGATCCAGTGGAAGATGCACCTGCTCCTCTGGGAATCCAGTGGAAAGGCTGTGCTGGTGTCCCAAAAATCTCAGATTATATCCAGTTAGGAATGCTTGGCTCCTTCTCCTGGACCAAGCATCTCCCAATGGGATGCTGTAATTTTATCAATCATGCAGTGACACTCAGTAACCCATTAACAACGATGTCTCCTGGAGGGAGGATTGGTTTGTGAAAGGGAGAAAGAAAAGTTCCCAATGAACAGAAGATAACTGCCCCACCTCTAACAGAATACACAAATAGAATACACATTGCCTTGCAATCCAGGACACTTTGGGAAGAAACTGTTGGTTGATATTTTACGTGCTGGGATTTGGGCAGGTTATTCCATGGCTACCAAAACCAGAGTGACTGAAGAGTGGCAGTCCTCTGCAGAGCCTGTGCTTACAGAAAGGGCAGGTGGGGAAAGCTCATTATAGCTTAGGAAAGCTATTGACTTCCTAGGATGTGGTTCAACCTTCCATGTGTAAAATTGTGCATAAAACAAATGTGCAACATACCAGCTGTCAAAAGGCATTTAAGCATTGCTCAGGTCCTGCTACAGTGCAAGCTCAAATTGAGGAATTGTGCATTAGTTAAATTTAGTGCTGCTGGCTGAAACCAGACACGGTTCAGGGGCTAGAGGCTGTGTTACGGGGTATATATAGTCCAGGGTGAATGCAAGAGCTGCTTAGGTAAGAAGCCTTGTGTAACAAATTTAGTGCATGAATGAAGTTCTGCTCTTTAGCCATGGAAAAAAAAATAGCCCACAATGCCCAGAACTTTGGAAGAAAAGGTTTAGCACTGCAGGTGGCCTCCATGAAAGCCTGCACTTTAGGCAGTCACAAACATTCGTAACTCTGGGCTTTGTTCTGAAGTTTGTGTCTCTCCCCAGACCCCATATTAAACTGAAAAGTTACCAGGTGAAACTGCATGGTCATCTTGATAGGCTGCAGTCAAAAGATTAATAGGTACAACCTCACTAAACATGGACTTTAAAGTCTGTTGGAATTAATGCAAAGGAAAGTTTCATCTGGTTCACTGCAGAAGCCACACAAAACAACAGATTTTGTTAGCCTTGGTTGCCTAAATTAACTTAACAAAAGTTAGTGCAGATTTAGTATTAAAAGCTACTTGTGTTAGCAGATCTGTCCATTAATTTGGACAAGATGAAACTCTCTTATAAAGAAAAGTTCCTACACTTTCTATTTTGTAGAAAATTCCCATAGATGAATATCCTTATACACAGCAAAATGTCACATTATAAACACTTTTAGCACTTAAAGCTGGATAGAAGCTGGGTTTTTCTCTAACAATTCACATGGGTCCCTAACTGCACAAAAATCCCAGTGATGGAACTCCTTCATTTGTGTCTCTGTGTTGCCCACATTTTCTGCCTGTGTTGCTTTTGCGTAGCCAAATACTTAATGGACTTTAGGAATAAAATAAAAGAATTGGGTAAAAATAAAGTTTTAAAAGAAAAGCATCAATTCTTAGAAAACATCTGACAATGAGATGTGGCTTGGGGCTGAGGCTACCATTCTGTTTGCCTGAGCATGAACATTAAGTGCAGCTATTAACGCACACACAGACAATATTCAGATCCCTCCACATCTAAACAAGAAACTGAATACCGCTCTCCCTTGACATTTGCATCCTGCCTACTGTGTGGAAGGGTCTAACTTGCATCCCCAGTCAGCAGCAGTCTTTCCAGCTGATTTGGACTCTCAAAGAAAAGTGAAGATGTGAAGAATAATGGGAGGGTTGCCAGCCCTGCCCCATTTTCAGACTCTCTTGACAAAGAGAACAATCTATAGTTTTGTCTCTTAAATTTTGCAGAAAAGTGCAGTGTCACTTTGATTTAAACAGCAAAAGGTGCTCAAGGCTAATGAAGACAAGCTGATGTCTTAGCAGGCTTTCAGAAAGTTCATGGTTCAGAGCAGGAATCAAATGATGACAGCCCTGACTGTGAGGAAGGAAAAGTGTAGGCAGATCAATGTAAAAAAAGAATATCTGCAGATATTTGCATTTCTTTTCTCATGGAGTCCATGCCTGGAATTCTGCTTCTTATGCTTTAAGTCACCTTTTAAACTTTAAGTGTTTAGAGGCGTTGAAAATATAATTTCTGCCCCTTCCCAACTCTACAAAGTCACAGCTGGAACAGGAAGATGGGAATTGGAAGGTTGAGGAATATCTACATGGAGATTAAACTGCAAACCCATATAAATGAATGCTATGCTTGAAACTGGAGCAACAGGCCAAAATATTTTACATTGTGATTTTTATTTAATAAGTTGACAATACCTAAAGGTGTGATGGCCACCTGGCAGTGCAGTTGACATCATTTCTCTGGCCCAGACAGCTTTCAGTGCAGCCACAAAGCAAGAGGCACCACGTAATGTACAACAGGGAATAAAACAGGACAAAGTAGACAGTGAGAATGATGCATGAGTGCTCTGATGACCCCATTATATTTCTGTGTAATAGTTTGGATTTAACAGGAACTTTGGATTTTGAGGAGAAAAAAAATGCACATCTTGTAGGAGGCACAGCAGCAGATTTCCAGCACTGGAACACACAGCAGGTCAAGAGCACCAGCCTCATGTTTGCTCTGCCCCTGCCTCCAGCAGGTTTTGTCCAGTGCATCCCATTGCTTGTTTGCAAAGGGACAGCAAACAGCCATTCTCTGGTCATTTATGGCCTCATAAACTTCTGTCACCCTCCTCAGCCATCTCTTGACTCGACTGAAGGTTCCCAGTCTGTACAGTGCTCCTGTTTCTCCTGGCTCCTTTGCCAGCACTTCATATGGTTCTGCTGTGTTCTTGTTCTCTATGAAAATGGTCTTGAGTCTTGTCACTCTGTCATACTAAACCTGATTTTACATATCCAAATTCTTCAAAAGTTTCTTTTCACTTGCCCAGAGCACATATTCTCGTTGCTGGGTGCAATTCCCACACCTTCCTGCCAATGCTTTTTCAGAAATGGTGGCATATTAGCTGCTCTCCTGTCATTTGGGTGGTTTTGAACAAGAATTAATATAAAACAGTAATTGATGAAAAGAGAATGGGTAAGGTAATTAAAAAGAGCATGCAAAAATCACCACTAGGGAAATCCTGCTTATATTGAGCTTCGGCAGACTGAAAGGAATCTTAAATTTTTCAGATTCTGAGAAAGAGAATTAAAAAGTCATTCCCCTTTCCCCACCTGTCCCCTTCCTGGCTGGGTCAAAAGCCCAATTCTGTCCTGTGTTTCACTTCCCTAGTTCCAACAAAATGAATCATAAAGCAGAGGAGCAGCAAAGCAACTGAAGGAATTCCAAATGGTCAGGTTTTCTTTAGTTCAAGCCAGTGCCTGTGCAATCACCAAGGGAAAAATTCATGAAGATCTATAGGTGTTTCCATCTGGCAAACATGGCTGGGTTCTTGTCCACACCTGTAACAAGCCAGTGAGATTACACCAGCTGGGGGACAGTCTACAGTATAATTCAGAATAATTCATCTGAAAATGAGCTGTTCTGGGACTTCCTCCAAGTTCTGCAATAGGAATGTTCATTTTTAGGTAAAAAGGGGTCTTTCCACACAATGTCTTCACTGAACAGGTGAGTTCCTCTTCCCTGGGAATGAGATGCTGATGTTGCTCCATGGTGAATTGGTGTCACTCATTGCTCTGGCAGTGCTGCCAGCTGGACAAAGGGGCTGCTGACCTGGGGAATATCAGCCCCACCACCCACACCTGCAGTGACTCCAGACTAACCAGGCTGAGGGGCCTGGAGTGCCCTGAGAAATCCCTGGGATCAGAGAGAGGGCAGTGTCGAAATGGAAGAGGGAATGGAGGTTGAGATGGAGAGGAGAGAGAACATAGGTTCAGAGCAAAGCAGGGGAACAAAGCCAAGCTAGAACAAGATGAGGACAAGCCAAGTGCAGCAAAAGCCAAGGAGCTCTGAGAAGCCATTGAGCTGCAGCCAGGGCCAGCTGAAGCTCTCCAAAGGAGGCTTTGCTCCCAGAAATCCTGAGAGTGCTCTGCCTTGGATAAGGACCGCTGCCCCTTCCCACCCTCTGGGAGGGGAGCTGCAGGTGAGGCTTGCACTGACTGGCTTTGCCAAGCAGCCCAAAATGGGCAGTGCCAGGGCTCCCATGTTGTGTGAATGGACTGGGTGAGAAACACAGCACAGCTGCTCCCTGAGGGGATTTGGAAAAATAACACCAGAATCCTCTGTCCCATTCACACTGGGCTTCTGTGCTGGCCTGTGTGCTGGTCACACACAGAAGGGCATGCAGTGCTTCTCAGTGCACAGGGATTGGTGTTCCCAGCTCTGGAAGGTTTGGGAAGGCACTCAGGTCCCTGTTGTGCTCCCCCAGCTGCTGTTACCGTTCCTGCAGCTGCATGGGCAGAGCAGGAGTTGGGTTTCCTCTCTCATCCACTCCCAGCAAAATCACAGCAATTTATTTATATAAGTACACCCACAGGCAGGAACTTTCTTCCAAATTCAGCTGAAGAAATTTTTACCTTCAGATGTCCCATCCCCTTCCCAAGCCAGGTCTTAATGCTGGAATCATTTGAGACAGCTCTAAAGCACAGCAGAACTCCAAGCACCTCCTGGCAGTGCTCAGCCTATTTCAGACTTGAGTGGACACAGAATCTTAGAATAAAGGGGGAGAGGTGAGGATGAAACAATCCCAGTTTTCAGGTACAAAGGTCTTTCTTCTTGCCTGAAACAGAAGGAGCAGTTTTCAAAAGCAGCTACAAGAGAAAACCAAAACATTTGGAGTTTAGCCCATCACAGGATGGACCAAATATTTGTGACCTAATTCCTGTGTTTCACTTGAAGCAAAATAAGGCACAGACTCATGAAGAAACTTCTTGGCACTGCACAGAGCTGTCCTTCATCCAGAGTGTGATGCTGAGCAGTTGCTGGTGGCAGCATTTGGCACAGCTGGAACTGGCCAGGCTGCCTAATCATACTCTGATTCTCCTTTTCACTCTGGCCATTTGACCTGCTAAAATAAAGCTACTCAGAAATTCACTAGAATGGGGTACCCAAGGAAGGAGGGGAAGAACCCAAACATTTTAATTAAAGAAAATAATACTCTTCTGCAGGATAACAGGAGGCTCAGCACAGATATAAACTGCTTTGGTCCAAGAACAGCAGATGTGTAACTCCTCATGACACACAGCCCATTACAGCTGACAGAACTACAACATGCCTGAAGGTGGGCACAGCACAGACAACAAACAGAAAGGAGTTCATCATCTTTAATACACAGGCAAAGGCTACAGAGACTACAGTGGCATGTCTCAATGTAACTGGGTAAGTTGCCACAGACATGTGTGCATATTGAAGACAAAAAACAGCTGAACATGTCTCTAGGGATAATTTCTCCAAAATTATTTTTGGGGGTTACACTTGGCAAATTCTGATTTAAAAATCAAAGCAGGTGCATTTCCCCTCTCCCCACCCTAAAATCAAGTAACAGATTTACTGAATTGAGCCCTTACTGGCAATCCAGGAGATGTGAAAAGAGGGTCCTTTTTAAAAAAAGATACAGAACAGACAAACACATCAGACACAGGCCCCAGTTTCATCAGCATTGGGGCATACATGCTTGCCACATGAACTCCATAAAGCTGTATTTTATACAGCTGCATTTTAAAAACTGCTGGACAGGTGAGTCTCCTCAGGGGTCTCCAGGGTTCAGTTCAGCAGATTGGCAGCTATGCAGTCACACAGATTTCTCTTTTCCACCTGAAGAAGCAGAGTTTCTGTCTGTAAGAGGGAGGAACAACATCACAAAAAACAAATGTCAGCACTGTAAAATGAATGAGCTTCCAAAGAAAAGTCCATTTTATTTTTATTCTCCAGTTTGGAACTAGTGGTATGAGGTGAATTTTGGGGTAAAAATCAGACTTACTGTTTACTACTCTACAAAATGATTTTGCTTTTGTGGGATTAATTGGCATACCCACATAACATTACTTCCTGTGACATGAAGAAAGTAATTTTTCTTTCCTGCAATCTTATTTCAACAGCACAAACTGGAGCATAAGTTCAGAAGTTCATTAGAGGCTTAAACCCCCTCCCCACCCCTCTCACATCATGTCAGAAATTTTATTTTACTTAAAAACAGACACTGAATTTAAAATTAAATTTAATTGGACCCACTCTCCGTGAAAAAATTAATTTCTCTAGTTTCTCTTGTTTCTCTTTAACTTTCTCCTGATAATACGAAAATTCAGTAGTTACTGATAATAAAACAGACAAGAGGTTCTGAGCTGGCACAGAGCCATCACAATTCAAACACAAAATGAGATGACTGACTTCTTTAAGGAAAGGGGTCCCAAACTGATGAAATTGGAAGTCTCTGGGTGGAACAGAGCTCATCAATATCAGGAGATCTCTGTTGCCCACAGATCCCTGGTTCTGAAGCCACGAGAGTGAATTGGGAACTTCTGAGAGCTGGAGCTGGGTATGATCTGAAAGGTTGCACCCTCTCAGCCTTCCTGAGTGAGAAAGGGCTGGGGACCAGGGAGGGGACAGCAGGGAAAGGAAATCTGGGAGTCCTTCCTCTCTAGCCCATACACACACACACACTTGGGTTTTCTTGGCTGTCTGGAGCCCTTGCTGCTTCAGTAGATGCAGGATGCAGCAGAGATGTTTCACATCAACATTATATCTTCACCTCAGTTTGTCTACCATGGGCTGAAGCTGTACCTGAAAATCAGCCTGATCCAAGAGAGAACTCCCCCCTTATTGCCATGGGACACAGTAGCTGTGGGAAATCCACTCACCAAATTAATCCCCACTGGGGTAACCAGCTACCAAAGCTAGGCACAGAAAAAAAGGCATTATGAAGAACACCAGCTCTAAATGCCAATCAAAGCCATCCTTAACCTGCCTGACTTGCAATTCCTGGATGAGATGGAGTTGCCATGTGTTTAAAGGCTGTGTTTTAAAAGCTGTGCTATCCATTGACCCACATTATCTAAAGGCACTTAGAGCAGAGCTGAGCTGAAGCTTCCAGCTCTGCACTTGCCTCCTTAGTGCAGGAAAAGCCATCTGCTGCTCAGGCTTGTTTTTCCCCAGATGATAAATCTCAGGAAGAAACCACAACCCTGTGGTTTTATATTAAATCAGGTATCAATTTTGATTGTTTCAGCTGCCCTGCAAAACTGAAAAGATCTGATCAGACTTTGCTAATCATTGAAAAGACCTTCAATCACCACCTATTCACCACCTCACTGGCATCATTTGCCATGGTTTGAGGTTAAGGGAGGTTGACAGCATGCCAGCATCTCTGGAGCTGAGTCCCAAGGCTGCTTATATATCTTTAATAACATTTTCAAGCCTTTCTTTTTATTTTCAGGGGCACATCTAGCTTACTGTGCTTTAAACATTCCAAGCAACCACAGACAGTTTATGAAGCAATAAAGAGCAGTGCTTGTGGTGGGAGCAGCTCCCTCCCAGCAGCACAAGACTCCTCTCCCCAGCCCATGACCACATGTGGCACTTTGGCTAAGTGGTGAACCACAGATATTCCCAGAAAATTCTGCCCACAGTTATTCTCACTACCAAAACAACTACTCCAGCCTGCTCTGAGGGACCACCAGCAGCAAAAAACAGGATAGAGGGGGGTAAATAGATCTGATATGTGTAGAAATCAGCCTGTCAGAAGGGGTCTGTGACCCTTCTGATGCAGCCAGCCTGACAATTAGTGAGGGACCATCACACCAGGGTAGGTTACAAAAACCTATTGGGATTGGAAAAGGAAGGAGATCCAGTCTGTGGCCTTCATGAAAGGGTCTGTGACCTATGCCAGAGTCAGTTTGTTTGAGACACCATGTAAATCAACCCAGGGCCAAATGAAGTGTGAAAGCTCTTGAGCAATATTATTTATTTTTATTTGCCATAAAATTATATACAGGCTTCTCCTGAACAGAACTGCAGGGTAAGATGTGCAGGAGGAATTAAATGAGAATTTCCTCTCTAAGCTTTTGGGAATCCCTCCCCCTCCAACACAGTTAGGAGCTGCTTAGTCATCATCTAACAATCTTGCCTGCAAACAAAGGAGAGTTTTTCAAGGAAATTAATGTCTCCAGTGGGAATATTAACAAAAGGAATTGTATTTTCAGGGACAGGAATATTTGCCCCACAAAGCAGCAAAACTGACTAAAATAGTCAAATGTGAAATATATGTGGCTGAAAGCAGTGGTCCTAAAGCCCTCAGTTTGCATTAAATTGTGCTACAGCTGAATAATAAAAGTAAGAATTAAATACCCTAGAAGACAGTTCCAAGAAGTCCTCAACTGTTAAATATTTCCATGTCTTTTGAGGATGTAGGCAGAATTCCTAGCTTAATGACTGGAATAGGCCTGTTCCAGTCATGGTGAGTTGAAGGATTTCAATATGAATTCAATTATTTAGATTTTAAAGTGATAAGGAAGTGATAGATTTTTTTCATTGGAATATATCATATTTTCAGGCTTGCTGTCAAATCTACAAGTGTGAAAGCCAATAATAGGACATTCATTTCAACTGACTTTTTTTCTATCCTCATGTTATCTCTTTGGCTGTCTTTAATGTTTATTTTTTTTAAACTATTAAAACACAGTTACTATCTTTGGCGTTCTTAATGCTACTTCTGTTTTGGATATCTGTGTTTTATAAATTTTTTCTCTTGGTCTGCAAGCTGAAGGTTTCATAAAGGTCACTGCCATAGCCAGACCAAGATGTAGAAATTCTACTACAAAGGTTTGTAGTAGGATGAAGTGTGCTAGAACCACTTTACAGCACAATCTGAACATCTTGTTTGGGCTGCATAAAGTGCTCAGCAGATTCATTAGCAAGATTTCTTCATGAAGCCCAAAATATATTTGACCTGTAATTATTGAACAGATTTTGTTTAACTGTAAATGTGCTACATACCAATCTGGTTCTGCTGGAATGTTTATTTTTTTGTAGAATGTCACAATTCAAGGCATCTTCATTCATGCACTTGCATTTTCACCTAACCATCAAGGACCCTGCTTGAAGTAACCTCACACCATTCCTCAAAGACAACAGCTCACAGGCTTTGACCATAATTCAGAAAAGCAGGAAAGTTTCAGTGCCTTCTGCTGAGCAGTCTATGCAGGAGTGTGTCTGGAGCACTCCAGCTATGGGGCACCCATGGGGTGGGGACAGAGCCACCCTCCTGGGACAGCAGCATCTGGCAGCAGCTGGGGCACAGGCAGGCACAGATTGCAGCAAGAGACAGATCCACATCCCCCACAGAAGGGAGGTGCCAGCCCTGGCGCATTCTGCGCACTCACTGCAAGACAAACACGTTTCATTCCCTGTGCTGTTCTACTTTGTGGCATTTTTCATCATTATGAAATCAGAAAAATGGAAAAACTCTCTATGGATGATGCTTCCTCCCTTAGCTTCTCCCCAGGGATAAAAGCATGTGCAGGGGAGTATTTTATTTTAGTAACTTTTTGTTTGAGCTGGCTCTTTCCTTTTGGGTAAAATATATAAATTATACTCTCACCTTACTCCCCCTGACATAAAAAAGGGTTTTGCTGAGCTTTGGAGTGAGAAAAGCAGCACCAATGGCTCTAATTTGGCAAGAGAAGGACAGTCAATTCACACTTTCCTATACTTCCTATTGTCCCTGAAACCCCAAAGCAGAAGAATTCCACAGGTTATTGCACAGAGAGGTGAAATGTAATTAACCAGCCTCACCTCAGAACACAGGACAGCACAACTCACTGCAAAAATCCAAGCATTTTACCTACTTTTGTACACAAAATTTTCTTTTATATTGGGGAAAAAAAAAAAGAAGACATTTAATGTGTCCTTACCCTTGTGTCTAGATTATATGCTGTCTTCTTTAAATCCTGCAGAGCTCTCTGCATGAACTCAAAGGCATGGCAATCAACACAGGGGCGGCCTGGGAGAGATTCAGGAGAGAATCATGACTACATGGCATGAAGAATTAACTAGAAGGAGTAAACTGTGATTCTGAGTATCAGAAAGAGCTACAAAAAAGAGTCCACAGAGTGAGTACTGATGTTGATAGTACTGAACAACCCAGGTAATTTTAATTGGTTTACTGTGATGGTCCACCCAGTCTCTCAATTATAAAAGAATTACTTCAAATTTACATTAATATTTTTCTTTCTGCTACATTGCTGTTCCACTTTTCCTTCTACAGCTCATTGTATGGAAACATTAAACTTTTTACTTGAGCCTTTTATTGTGCTCCACTAACCCTGGGTACATTTTCAACCTCATCTTCAGATTTTTCAGAAATTATGTCTGAAAACATGAACCCACTCCCTAGAAAAATCTCATCTCCTAATCTAACAAATGTGAGCTCTAAATAGAAGACTAATAAAATAAAACTGACTACAGTATCATAAAGACAGCCCACTTCAGCCTCTAACTTTGAATATGACACAGCTTTGCCCAAAAAAATTGCCCTGTTATGAGCAGGCATTGCTGGTAAGCAGAACTGCTGCAATCTGGATTTATTGGAGTGTTTAAGAGAACATTCCCAGATTGAGACACTCAGACTGAAGGGCACAAGGCTTGCTTGCCTTGTTCACCACATAACACAGATCTGTGCCCTAACAGACAGCAAAGACAGACAGACAGACAGACACCTTGAGCTCATCAGGCTCAGCTGCTCTCACTGGCCTCTCTGTGCCTGTGCGTGGCTGACAGCCTCACCAGAAACCCTGCAAAGGAGAGGAATCCTGAGCCCAGCTGTAGTTTGCTCTCTGGGGCCTGGTGTGAATGAAAGGATGAAGTCCAGGCTAAAGCTGGGAAATGCTGCTGTACCTGTGCCCTGTCTGTAAGCCCATTTTGCAAACACTAGATGTTGGACTGTACATGCCTCTGACACCCTGGACAATGAGCTTCCAGCTCACAATCTGAGTGCTGACCAGCAACCAGGAATTCTGCCTGCTGGAGAAAGGGACCCTGCCAAAGTCTTTAACTGGCTAAGAAAAGAAAAAAAAAACACACAAAAAAACCCCCAACATATATATATATACACACACACACATATATATACACACATACATACATATATATGTATACACACACACACACACACACACACATAAATATATATATAAACAGTATTAAAGACCTGCTCCATCATTGCTGTACCCAACTTCAGTGCTACTGTATTTACACTGGACAAAAGGAGAGGACAGCAGTTTTTCACATCAACAACTTGATGGAAGGACCTGTCATTATGTTTATAAAGTAAAATAAACTCAACACAGATCAGCAAAGGAGAATTAGGTGGTTGAAGGCCCCAAGACTAGGTGTTGACAAAATGCTTTCTTGGCATCATTTAATAAAAATTCATGACTTTAAAACAGCAAACATTCTCAAGAACAAAATCTAATGAACAGACAATGTCAGATGAAAAAGAACAAGTCTCAGTGATGTCTCTGAAAAGCACACATGGTGATTCTGGCATAGAACAGGCTAACACAATGGACAAAAAGGGTGCAGAACAGTGGCAGGTTTCAGCAAAAAGCAAGAGACAAAGATAAGAGAGTGAAGAGCTCTGGATGCAGGAGCAAAACAACACTGGTAGATTATCAGGCTGTGGTTTTAAAACAATGCAGGCAAGACATATCCAAAATAGTTTGAATTATTTGGGCAAACTTCAGAGTCCAGCAACATGAGGCCTGCAGCAGGGGCTGTAGGAGAGGACTGCAGGGTGGTACTTACTTTCAGCTGGGATGGCTGTTCCTGCTTCCTGGTCAGCTCTGACAGGCTCTGAGACAAGTAGTGCCACCAAAAATACCAAAGGAACTGTAAGGATGGCTCTCCTCAGAAGGCAGGGTGCCAGCATCTTGGGAATGGGTGCTTCTCTGCTTGTCAAGAGATATAAACAAGTTAGTGAGAAACACTACAGACACACAAGGGTTTTCTCCCAAAGTTAATGTCCCTGATGGCTAAAGATTTGTCAGTCTTCCTCTGAAAGAAGACAAAATACCAGAAGATCTAGAGCAGGGAGAAAAGGTCTCTGTACCTTTCCAGAGTGTACATAAAACTCAACACTGAGAGAACATCCCTACACTAGATAAGAAGTCCCTGGAGTGTCCTTGGTTTCATTTGAAGGCCAGGATGGTTTGCCTGGTCTGTGACTTTTTTCTAACTACACAGTCACAGACATGAATCTGGGGAGCTGGTTCACTGTTATACTTTGAGATCAAAACTTCAGGGATTACAGAGCTGGCTGAAACAGAACCTGGAAACAAGGTCTTTGGCCTCTGGCTTCCTTTACTGCATCATCTTTTCACAAGTGAAATAACTAAAGGTAACCACTAGCATTACACAGCACTCTAATTATAAAAACTCCTTTATGAAAGTACTTGAAGGAAATATTTTTGTTAAACCTCCACAAATTCAAAGGTAGAATTTCTAATGGTAAATGCATCAAAACTCTTTGACCTTCTGTTTCCCCTCCTAATCTGGGCTTCAGACCATTATTTGCAGCCATCCATTTGCTCCTGCCAGGCCACACCATGCCCAGACCTGGGTACAACCTGGTCCAGCAGCAGTTTCCCTTCACACAGAGGCAAGTTTTTTTGTAAGTTTCAATTAAGTATTTTCTTGACCCAACAGGTAAACTGTTCAGAGCAAAAGGGACTGGCTCAAGTTGCAACTGCTTGTTAGAGATCCCAATCCAAGCCTCAAGGACTCTGGCACACTGCTAGGGAGCTCCTTAGCTCAGCCAAGTTTACCTTTCATTCCTATACATCAACATGGAAGAAAGACAGACTAAAATAAGGCTAAGTTATGGCAATACAATAAAACCCACATAAAAAATCTGTTCAGCTAACTGTGGGAAAGCAGGACAACATTCTGCCTCTTTCTGTTGGTGCTTATTGAGCAAAAGATGTTGCATAAGAGCATTAGATCTGCATGTACTGAATGCAAGAGTACAGCACTCCCCAGAACAGATTGTATTTCACATTTAGAAAGGCAGTAGAGGGAGGCAGGAAAGGGAAGGGTTTTCCCCATTTTTCCACAAACACAGAACAGAACAAGACTGCTCTTCAATATGTGCAATCCACCTTTTCAGACACAGATAAAGTGGAGCTGCAAACTCTGCACGAACACTTGCAGCATGTGCAAACAGCAATTCAGCCAGGGCAGGAGCAGCACTGTACACATCCCCTGCCTGTGCACCCAACCTAAACACAGGAGCAGGGAATGGTTCAGAAGCAAGAGACAAACCTGTACAAGTAGAGTCACAGATGTACTTGAACCCATGGCAACAAAAAGGTAGGGTAATATAATTTCTATACCCTCATATTAGGTTTCCTGTCCCACCCCCTGTTTAGATCTGATGTGATCCTTTTTTTTTTAATCTCTACAATCCCTAAAATAAAGGGATTAAATCACTACAAGTGGTTTGGGTTTTCTGTTTTAATTAATGGCGATCTGCAATAAAAACGAGTACAATCAAAAATAGCAGTCTTTGCAATAGGATGCAGCAGAGTGTCTCCAAGAAATAGTAAATTAGGACAACACCAGCCTCTTTTGGAAGCACCTGATGAAGCAGCCTCCTAGTCAGCAGGAGCAGAGGCTATTTTCAGAGTTGACTAGGAGTACTACAAAGGTTCAACAAAACAAAACAGACACATTGTTAAACTTTTTTGGGGCACCTTAGCCATCACCCACCCCAGAGTCAGCTCAGCTTTGTATGTGAGCCCCACTGCAGAACAACTGCTCCTCTAGTGCAGCAATCATCTTAAATCACACCTGACTCCTGCCTCTTAGTTATTGCATGGGAATTTGCAAGGAGTAATCATGACAGCCTTACAAGGGTGGTCTCTCCCTGCAGTGCAGCTGGGAACAGAGACAGATCTGTGCACGGACTTCTATGAAAGAGAAAATTCACCCCCTTTAACAAAGGAAAAAATATCAGTACCTGATCTTTCTCTTGTCTTTGTGATGGTTTCTTTGAAATGGCCGCTGCAAACTGCTAAGAGAACAAGTGCAGCATTTCTGAGCATGTGCACTGTCTCTTTTTAACCTTCTCTGAAAGAGGTTATTACTATGGGGAGATTTCTGCCATGGCAACAATGCAGAGCACTGCAGCACGCAGCGCAGATTTAAAGAGGCACAGGCTGTGTAGCCCAGGTCTGGGGAAGGATGATTCTGCTCTGACATGCAAGGTCCAGCAGGGACTCACCTGCCCTGGGTAAGGTTTTTAAAACCAGGCCATTTGATTAATCTCTCCTGAAGTCTGCTGAGTGGTTTTCCTGCAGTCTGAGCAGCTGGATGGGGCACCTGGTTCAAGCAACTTGCTTCCCCTGAGCTTGAAAATCACCACAAGAATCTACAGCTGCTTTTTGGGAGATGAGGACAGAGCAGGGATTGCACTGAGGAATTGCTCAGTGCACTGCCTGCCATTTGAATGGTTCTGACTTACAGGGGGCATTAGCACTCGTGCCTGCTTTCCCAGGTATTCTGTGATTCCAGTCCCAGACCTGCCAGGAGCAGCTGCAGCCACCAAAACTCTGAGAGGGAGCTTGAGCCCAAAATCAGAACCCCTCTTTTCTATCCCTCTTTCAGAGCCCTGTGAGCTGCACTCCAGGACAACACTGACTGCACTTGTTCTGCAATGATACAATGGCATGAAGATGATAAAAGTGATTTGGTCAAGTCAAAGCTAAGTTCAGGGGTTACATCACCTCCCAAAAACCACATTTTCCATCACAAATTAGACACTAGCAGTGCTTTTTTCAGAGAGAATGAACCCAGCTGAGGGCAGGCACAGCACTGAAGAGCATGCACAGACCTTCAAAGGGACTGTGCACTGTGTTGGCTTTACCTGGTTCAGAGGAGACTCAACCTTCAATGATTTCATGGTGAAAGCTGGGGGCATTCTGTGCCCAGCAAGATCAGGCACACAACCTTGTTTTTCACGAGCAGAAACTCCTTCCCAGAATTATGACTGAATTGCTAGCTAACATTTTTCTTTTCAACTTGCTCTATATAACCTGTCCCTCCTGTATACACCAAGAGGAATGGTTTGCTTTCATTAATTCTGGTAAGTAAGTAAAAAGCTAAAATCTCAGCTTGTTCAGTGTGTAACTATGCTGCTGTGTGAAGTTACAACATCCATGAGATGTTGAGGGGAGTCAAGAGGGGATTAATTATAGTACTGCCATCCTTATACATCACAAAAACAGAAATCAGGGGAAAATAATTTTTAGAGACTGTTCTTTTGGGAAAACAAGATTCAGCATTGCAGAGATAACCTTTTGGTCTGATTTAGTATCTGCCTGTACATAAATTACAAATGCAAAACTTAATTCATGATCACTCTCAGCCCTCTAATCTCATACCTTGGCCTGTCTTCCTGATAAATAACATAGATATTCCTATAGACACACACACCCCCACTACCTGCCCCCCTCTCTATATATGCCTTTTCTTAGCCTGATCATTCCCAGTAAATCTGTTCTGAAGCCTGTGCTTTCTCTATCACAACAGTAAAACCAAGCAGCCAGTCCTGGTACCTTGGGTGTTATCACTGATGTCTCTTCTAGACCCATGCAGTGGACTTCCAATTCCACAAAACAAACTTCTAAAAATCTGTTTCTGCCATTCAGATGCTAAATTACTTGCTCTTAGCATCCCATACCAAATATTGCAATGTCTCTTATTTAGCCTTATCTTAGATCTATTTATCCTTCAAGGAACAACTTCCATTTCAGTGCTTTAAAAACATTTCCTCATTATTCACTACTCTCCACTCTGCACTCTGTTAAGCACCAGTTTTTCTCTTCACTGAAGCTAAAATTTTCTCAAGTGGAAAATATCAGTTCACCAAGGAGGAGATCTTCCGTATAGGAAGCAGACATTCAATTTCAGCACATTTTTCATAGAATGTCCTGAGTTGAAAGGGACCCACAATGGTCATCAAAGTCAAACTCCTGGCTCCACACAGCCCCATGCCCAGGAGCCACCCCCTGTGCCCCAGAGCATTGTCCAAACACCCCTCGAGCTCTGCCAGGCTGGTGCTGTGACCGCTGCCCTGGGGAGCCTGGTCAGGGCCCAGCCACCCTCTGGGGGCAAAACCTTTCCCCAATATCCAACCTGAACGCCCCTGATACAACTTCAGGCCCTTCCCTCATTCCTGTCACTGTCACCACAGAGCAGGGATCAGTGCCTGCCCCTCCTCTTCCCCTCAGGAGGAATTTGTAACTGCACTGAGATCTCCCCTTGTAGAGGGATAGAACGTAAGTAAATAAATATAGTATAGAAAGTAATCTTACCCCCTAAAGAGTTGCAGCTGAGCCAATTATTAAGGATTAGGAGCAGGCCTGATGTTAACAGGCCACAGCTGTAGCCAGTCAGAAGAGTGTTATAAAAGAGTGGGTTGGTTGGTTGGGGGAACTGGAGTCAGTGGCTGCCGCGAGGACAAGGAAGAGTCAGTGCCTGGAGGAGTTGCCTACAAGAAATACCGAGGAGGTACGAAACTGTGGTAATATGGAACCCTTGCCATGTAATGAATATAGAACCTTTGTAATATAATAGCAACATCCCCTCAGGTTCCTCTTCTCCAGGCTGAACAGACCAAGTGCCCTCACCCGCTCCCTGTATGGCCCCTCCAGACCCTCACCATCCTCATGGCCTTCTTTGGACATTCTCTTATAGTTTCAAGTCTTTCTTATTTTGTGGTACCCAAAGCTGCCCCAGCACTCGAGGTGAGGCCACCCCAGAGCAGAGCAAGACAATCCCTCCCTTGCCTGGCTGGAGATGCTGGGCCTGATGCCCCCAGAACAAGGTTGGCTCTCCTGGAGGCTAGGACACACTGAAAAATTTTGAATTTTTGAAAGTTTTGAAATTTTTATTTGGAAAATATTTTTTAAAATATTATTTTGACAATTTTCAAATTTTGATAATTTCTGGTTTTCAGATTCAGAATGATTTGTTTTTTAAAACTAAGCTTAACACAGTAAAAATACATTGCATAGTCTGTTCATGGAACTGCAGAGCAGGAACAGTTCTCATGTTAAAGTTATGAGGCACAACCACAACAGAACATTATAACAAAACCGTTCCTTCTCTTATATTTCTGATGCACAAAGCACAGGTCACAGAGATGCTAGCCCAAGGACCACTGAAAATTGGAAGTACAGAGCAGGACTGGAACTATACAGCACCTGCACTGCACCCTCAGTGGTGATTTCACTGTGGCCAAAGCTGCAGTAGTGCCCATGAGGCACCATGGGCTGAGTGTGAAAAGTGACATTTGTGTGAAAGCTGGAACAGCCTGACTCCCCAGCTGCCCTTGGGGAGCATTCATGAGGAAAGCACAGAGAATTTATAGCTTCTTTTCTATAATGAAGTCTAACACAATGGATTTTTTTTTTAAATCCCCACCAGCTAGGAAACATCAAAGCACTGTTACTGAGATTTCATTTTTTCATCTTGATAGCACATGTCTTGATACTATAAATATTTCTATGGGATTGGAAGAAAAGCTGGAGCCTTTACCTCTAAGCCTCTTCACTGCTTGGTTTCTCCTTGGCTCTTAAATCTAATATCCTGTCACTACAGAAAACTTTCTCCCTCACCAAAGAAAACAGTTTCTGTCATTTCTCCTGGAGACACTTTTATGTTTTCTCATAGCCTGCCCTCTAAATCATGGCAAAAATCTCCCCACAAGGTACCATCCTGTCTTCTATCAACCACACTTTGATGCTTTACCTCTGCCACAAATCCACAAAGGAGAGCATGGGGATGAATCTGGCTGGGGCTGTGGATGCCATGCAAAAGTGTTTGTCACACCAGTATGTCTCTGCCCCACACCTCTGGCTGTCACTCCTGTCACCCCTGCCAGCCTGGGCTGTGATATCTCCAGCGCAGGGGCTCTGTTTGCTCTTGGTGAGGCAGCACCACAGGGCTGGAGTGTTGACAGAGGGCTCCAGGCACATGTGATGTGAAATAAAGTCAAACTACCTAAAGCTGGTCTCATTCTCCCACACTCTGATATGCGAGCTGTTCACAGAGCAAGCCTCTGATTCTTTTCCTTCCAATGTAAAGCTCTTGGGATGTGTCAGAGTGACCAAATTAAGAAGTGACACCTGCCTTTGTTCCCTGAACAGGTCTTGCCTATCTTGGTAGCAGCAAATAATTGTAATTGTTCCTCCTTCCATTTTCTCCACCAATAATTTTAGGAACAATTTCCCTGTCACTAAATCCAAATCCCACAGTCCCTATCTGTCAGAGTATGGATTGCCTGAAGTCATTCTGGGATCCAAAAATCTTGAGTTTCAGCACAACCCTAAGGCTGGGCTCACTTCCAAGTCTGACTTTTCCACACAGATTTTAGGGAGACCGGCACTGTTAGAACTACTTACTGCTTTTTGGATGAGATGCTAAATTGGGTCTTATCCTCCTGCATCTCTCTGGGAGCTGAGAAACATCTAAAACTCCCATGGCAATATTCAGGAAGGGTTATCATTAACTGAGACATCCTTGGCTTGCACTCTCCCTGTGCACCCTGCTGCACACACAGCTCTGGGGAATAAAGCTGTGCTGGAGCTATTTAAGGGTACATAAAAGTTGCAACTTTGACTTGTTTGCAGGTTCCACAGGGATGTCTTGAGTACTCTGCAGCAATTAAACATGCAGGCACTTGAATTGGCTTTGGACTAGAGGGGAACAAACCTCTTAATTCCCAAACTTCCCAATCTGGAACCAGACTTCAGAGTCCAGGGGCCTCTTCTAGCACTGGAGGGATCTCTCAGCTGACAAACAGCGCCAGTTTCCTTGCAAAGGCTGCTTGGAGAAAGAGCAAGTGAGGAAACTAAAGAGAGATTGCTAAAATTGGAAGTTTATTGATTACCTCTTTTTCCTTCCAAAAGATGTTTATCATCCAAAGTCTGCATCAGGGCTCTCAAACTACAAGAATCAGAGGACCCAGATTCAGAGGCCTCCAGATCCATTCTCTGCTTTATGAATCAGCTCCTTTGCAGCCAGGAGACTAATTCAGCATGATTTTTATGACATC